CTAAGATATTTGCTGACACTCTACGAACAATTTGATATGGCCATGGACATACGCTGGATGCAAATGGACGCAAGTTATGCTACTCTTTTCTAGTTATACACTAAATCATTGTTTTCTCATTATTCTGTATTATCTTCTCTAATTTTGCTTTATATAGCTACTAGTTTTTATGCTTGAAAATATGATCTTGAACTTTACAACAAGTTCCTTGTGTATGGTTATATGCCATTACCTTTTTTTTAATTTGTTCTTTTTACCTCAGCAACTATATGCCATCATTTCCATTAAAAATGTCCTTCATATGAATTTTGCTGTATCTTTGCGTGATTGTGTCTCACAGGGCAAGTCCTATGCATGCAGTGTTCCTTTTCAAGTTTTTTTGTACCGTGCATGCCATTGTGTGTAAATGTATTTGATAGCTCTAAAGCATTAAAATGAAGCGAATTCTTTAAAACGAGTCTGGTTTGGAATTTTGTATTCCTAAATAAAAAAAGAAAAAAGTGAACTTGGTTTTTTTTGAGTCTGTATAATGTCTGTTGGTGGCCAAAGAGAATGTCTCAATGGAAGTCTTTCTTTCTGATTACCATCATTCATCAAGATATTTAGCTTTATTTGTCATATCGATTGTTTTAATAGTCCATATAACCTTTTTGCTCAATTTCTCTCCTAAATCTACTTCTTCAAGTTTGTCTCATGTCCTTCAGTCGATATATTTGTGTGCCCGCTTAGAGATGAAGAGGTGGTATAGATAGCATTATTGGTGAATGTGGAGGAGAGCAGAGCACTAGATTTTCTTGCTATGCATGCACTAAAACATCAAAATGGATGGAAGCGTGTCATGTAGGACACATGAATGACTTGTACACTTACGCAATGCGTGTTTGAGATGTGTCCAACACACCATCTCTTTGTCTAACCAAAAAAAAAAAAAATTCATACATGTCCAACTCATATTTCATGAATAAAATTTAGCTTTAGAAGTATATTATATAATAATGTAAGTTAAGCTATATATTTTTTTTATTTTAAAATATAGTAAATAATTTGATGGCTACTTAACACAAATTATATTTTACTTATTTTCGCTCCATTTTCCTTTTGACTTTTTAATTTTATATATATATATATAATAAAATCAATTTTCTCACCTTCAAAACAATTAACTTATAATATATGTGACCGTCTCTTTTTCAATTAAGTTTAAGGTATTTAATAAATTTAAATATATTCCTTATTTTATGAGCATTTTAATTAAAATTATAATTAAATGAATTCATTTCATATTCATTTAATGTGTAAGTAATATATATTAATTTTAAAATTTAATTATGTAATGTTAAATGTGTACATGTGCTCTATATTTTCAATAATAAATATGTCCCTTGTTTGTGTTGTATCATATCTATGCACATGTCTATTTCGATGCATCATAGGTTTCTTGGTTGATTTTCTTTGTATGACATTGAAATTTCAGTCTAATCATCCTGGTTCAAAATATTAATTCCTTCCAGTTGCTACACATTCATTTTTCTTGGCATGGTGGTCTAATCATGATCATGAGAGGCTTTATGTCGGCCTGATTCTACTACGTTCAACTCGTGCTGTATTTGTGTCCTCATTTTAATTTTCTAGCATATAATGGCAATTTACCAATTGGCTTGATTCCATAACGTTGAAATGTTGTGCTTGGATGAGGCCATAGCTTTGAACTTAACCCTCATATTAATTTTATGGCTTATTGCATGGGATGGAATGATTAGTTTGCTCTCTGCCTTCTTAGTTAGATGAGATTGGCACATGGCATAAGCATATTTGTGCTCAACTTCTGAAGCACTACGTGCTTATGCTTGGTGTTTCAAAGAAACAATCTTTTCTCTTCTTTCTTGAAGCATGAAGTGATCGTAGCATGTAAATTCTAGTATTGACATCAAGAGATAAGAACATAGAAATTAAGGGTCTGTCGTCATGTGTTCTGGTATCGACATCAAGAGATAACTACATTGAAATTAAGGGTCTGTAAGGGATCACTTTTGTTTTTTTATTTTTGCCTTTGTTTTTAAAATAATGTTTGTTTAGTGTATTTTAATTATTTTTATCTTTTATTTTTAAAAATAAATTAAGTCGTTTTAAAATAAAAATAACTTTCACAACCGACTGCCACCACTACTGCTGCAGCTGTGATCGCCTACCTAGCCTGCTGCTGCCACTGCCATGCTGGCAATTGTCATCACTTCCATATAAATCAACTTATTCGATAGTCAATAAAATAAAAAATATTATGTTTTTGTAATATCAAATATATTTTGTTTCATGTTGAAAGTGATCTCAAATGACCCCTAAAACGATGACATAGAACTAGCGCGATCAAGTTTCAACTAGGAGATGGCATATGGTCTGATTGCAGGTTAGTGGCCTGTCTCACAGCTAAAATAGAAAGTGATGATCTAAATCTGCATGCTTAACTTACGTTGTTCTTTTTAATGTCATTCTTCTTGTTCTTCTACTTATTGTGTAGCCTCTTCCTTAGGTTTCCTTGCCATTCTCCTTTGTTGTTTGTATTTCGAGACTTTTCAAGATAATTTTTTTATATCTTAAAAGCATGCAGCTTGTAGCTGTTGTGCACCTCAGTCTATTTATGTAGGTCTGCTACAGTTTTTTTCTGCTACGAGCTGAGTCAGCTTCTGTTTATGGCATATACTTCTTTGGCTGTTAGATTTCTCTGCTATTCTTCGGCGGTTTTGCATAGCAAATCCTATATTATGGGCACGCAGCTCTTAGTTCTACCACCGCTTTGTTCTTGCAGGCTTGTGTTTGCACTTTAATTTCCTAGCTATCCTCTTTTATTTATTGTGATGTTATACATATCACTTTATTTTGTGCTATTTACATATCTAACACCTAAAACATTAAAATTACATATCTATTACCCATATACAATTTCAATATCAAATATACCACTCATATAATTCATTTCTACCATTCATACCATTTTATAAACTAATATTTCATTTCATGCACCCAAATTTGTTCTATGGATGGTAGGCATGTAATATTAATGTTTTAGGTGTTAGATATGTAAATACCATAAAATAAAGTGGTATTTATGTAAATCTCCCTATAATTTTTTGTTTATAGTTTGCATTTCAATCACTAGTTGTGTGCCTCCCTTCAATATTATTTTCAGTTTCGCTGTTATAGTTATTTTATGTTGTGGGTCATGCAGTTATTAGTTTGCTGTGCTTCAAAGAACTCTTTCTTGGGGCCACACAATGTTACTATGAACCTTTTTTTTAGAAGTATAATTTCATATTTTTTCCCCATATTGATAAAGTTTTTTCTATTTCAAAGAGATGTGACCGTATTCTTCTTCTTGCCAGAAAAAAAATAAAAAAACCTTCATAGAAATTGTTCTATTTTAAAATCGGTCCCATTTTCACCAGTTTTCACCATTTATTATCACAGTCAGAGAAGACGACACGGAATATTCCACCTTGTTCTACTTTGTTTATTGCAAATCTTGGGCCAAATTGTTCTGAAACAGAGCTAAATAAAGCTTTATCGAAGTAAGTCTATCTTCCATTTGAGTGCCTCTCACTGTTATCTTTTTGCTTTGCTAGGTTCTGCTTAATGATCTGGTTTTTAATAATTTGGTATTTAAGGTTTTCTGGTTTCCAAACACTTAAAATGAGAGCGAAATGGGGAATGCCTGTTGCTTTTGCCGACTTCGAGGTATCTTCATCTTTAAGTCTTTAACCAATGCAAATTTACGTAAAATTTTGCATCTCTTTTAGATTTATTATTATTTTTTAAATCTCAGAAGACTGTGGTGATTATTTAAAAAATTTGGTTGTATGAAACCCAACATTGAAGCTCCGTTTGGGATAGCTTTTTTACTGATTTTAAAGTAACTTTTTAATATAAAAATTTTTAGTTAAAAAAATTTTTGCACTAAAAAGTTGCTTTAGAAAGCAGTCGTTTGGGATAACTTTTTACCGCTTCTTAAAGCAATTTTGTAGTACAAAAATTTCAATTTTTATTTTAAGAAATTGCTTTAAGAAACAGTAAGAAAGCCATCCCAAATGAAGCTTAAACCTCTAAGACTCATAAAGTCTTTACTGGAAGTTCCTGCCTACTAATGAAACCGACGTTCATTTATATGAAATTTATATGATTTTATTTTCAAGTAATCGTTTGGGCTGATTTCTGTTGATTGTTTTGTGCCCATAAATTTGACTTCCTGTTTGTAAAAGAAAAAAAATATATATGAAAAACTCTTTTTACATATGATGATGAGCATAAACTTCCCAGAAGGCAGAATTAGTACTTAATGTTTGTGCCATTATTGAAGAAGTTACTCCATTGAAATATTGAATCACCAACCCTTTCTTATTCAGATCAATAAATTTCTTGGTGCAGAACGTTGAATCCTCTACTGCTGCGATGGAAAGCTTGGAAGGCACTTTAATAGACTCGTCTGATCGTGGTGGAATGCATATCGAGTATCCCACCATCCTCGAATAAAAATTTATATATATTTTTTTTCGTTTCTTTATTGATCTTTTCATAATCTACATTCTTTGAAATTTTGTCATCGTAGTGCTGTAAGTTGCTCCATTTAATTATTCCATTTAAGAAGAAACGATCAAAATGATCTCTTGACTCTTTTTATAGGAACAAAATAGTCTTTGAGATGACTTTCTTACTGCTTTATAAAATAACTTTATAGTATAAAATTTATTTTTATACTAGAAAACTGTTTTAAGAAGCAGAAACGAAGCCTTAAACTATATTAAAGGGCCGTTTTGTTCTCTCAAGTCTTTAAAAATGAATCAAAATAGTCATATCAGAGATTATTTTGGTTCATCTTTAAAGAGTTGAATTATCTAAATAATAATTTAATATAGTTGAAGAATATTTTGATTTTTCATAAAAAGTCAATGAATCGTTTTGATCATTTTATCTTCTTATCTTGTCCAACTCTATTAAAATCTCCTTTTTTTTTTCCAGATATGCAAGGTCCAAAATGAGGAGAAACTGATGGAGCTAGGGCTTCTTCGTAAGTCAAATTGTCCTCTGTGTGATATATAATCAGTGCATCGTACACTTTCTGCATATGGAATGTTCTTAATTAGGGGAATGCCTAATCATTCTGCCATTGGAAGTGCTAAATTTTCATTCTAGCTTAGTAATTTTTAAAGCAAAAAGTTGTAATTGCATCACAGGAAATTGGACCTTTTTGTTTCAAGTGCTGTAATATGCTAAAGTTTCTCTCTTAGGGTCTCACATATCTTTGGAAAATGCTACTGACTAAGGCTTTGTTTGGGACGGCTTTCTTATTGCTTCTTGAAGCGGTTTTTTAGTATAAAATTTTTAATTTTTATTCTAGAAAGCAGCTTTATGAAGCAGGAAGAAAGCCGTCCCAAACGAAGCCTAAATTTTCTATCTGCTTTGTTTTCAGAACCTATGTTTTTGTGTCAATTTTGGCGGTCGTGTTTGATATTTTATCCTTTTTATTTTACTTTCTTGTTGAAATGAAATTATTTGGGTGGGTGTAATTGTCTAAGCTCATTTATTTTTTTATTTTGAGCGTGAGCTTGAATCAAGCTCATTTATTGTGCTTGAATTCGGGTATTTCGAAATTTATTAGGCTTTAGCTTGGCTCGATTACTTGAGTAGTTGAGCTTATTGTTCGAAACGCTTGAATTTTAATTGAGATAATTAAAAAAAAAGCACATATATTTTATTATATTATTTAAAATTAATTTAAAATATATTTTAAATATGAACGAGCGGCTTCACATGAATTAAGCAGGTAAGCGCAAGCCCAAATTTGTGGCTTGATTATCTCATATTGTGAGCTTGTTAATGAGTAGAGTTTGAGATGCTTGTGAATATATTTGACTTATTTACATTCCAAACTTAGGTTTTGTTTGAGATAGTTTTCTTATTGTTTTTTAAAATATTTTTTTAATACAAAAATTTTTAGTTTAAGAAATTTTGGTATTAAAAAATTGTTTTAAAAAGTATTAATAAAGCCACAAAGCTAGAAGATAAAAAACATATGTAGTTGTAAATCCTTTTAAGACATTGAACAACAATAATCTCATTTGGTATGAGATAAGCTTAATTTTTGTATTTGGAACTTAGACTATGAAACCTTCCATTTGATATATGAGGATAATTGATAGTATGCTTGAATGAGATAATTCTCTACTCATAAATTCATATGTTAATGTCTTTGCGTCTAGGCAAAAATAGGTTATACATCCGATTTTTATAGTTTTGAATATCCATAAAATTGTGAGATATAAAATAGTTTCGAATTTTATACTTTTTCATTTGTCCCACATTGATATTGTCATCTTTTCTTCTTCCATAAAACTCTACCTCAACTTATTGAGTTCAAGAATGATTGTATTTTTGGCAATAAAAGAGTGTGTCGATTAGTGTAACGTACAAATGAATCATCTTGCAACATGTCCATGGTGATTTCCTCTCCCTTTTGCTTAATGTAAAATAATGATTATTGTGGTCACTCATTCTTATCTTTAAAACACTTTATTTATTTATTTATTATAATAATTATTATTATTATTTTTATCTTTGCAACACTTTTTTTATTTTTTTTATTAATCTCTGCAATACTTAACTTAATATTATGATCTTTTTTAGGTCTGCCTCTATTTTTATAACACAAGTCAAATCAAATACATATAGTTTCCCAATTGAGTCATTGGAATGTTGCCTTTTTTATGTGACCAAATCATCTAAGGAGACTCTCTCTAATCTTATCTTCCAATGGAGCTACTCTAATCTTTTCACGTATATTCTCATTTCGTATCATGTCTCTAAGGGTAAAACAACTCATCCACCTAAGCATCATCATCTCAACAACACTTAATATTATGCTTCTCTTTTAATGGTCAACATTCTACAACATAAAGCATTGCAGATCTCGCCACTATCTTATAAAATTTTCTATCACATAATATGCATGATGTATTCCTCCCTTTCAAGTTTCAACCATCCAACATGAATTATGCTAATAATATTTCTATCTATCTAACTATCATTATAAACAATAGGCTCATCATATCCAAAACATGTACTCTTATTAGTGAATTGTTCACCCAAAGTCACTATCCATACCATTAGACTGTAAGATTGACATCTACAATTCTAGTTTAAATTCAACTCCCTCTCTAGTCTTATAAACAAAGAAGCATCATCAAAATTCATACCTTACGGTGACAATAGATTAGGGTTTGAACGAAGATGCACGCAAAAGGGAGAAAGACTGATACATTTGCAACGACCAAGCTCCCTTTTGCTCAAATTCATCTGCCACAGAAAAACAACAAGGTGTGAGTTCGTATGATACATTTTTGGACCATAAAGCGCACAAAAGGAAGAAAGATGGATACATTCTCAACGAGCAAGCTCTAATTCGACGCAAAAGGAAGGAACATTGTGGAAGGAGCCGAGCAAGGTTGAGCAAGAGATGAGACAGTGGTTGCGAACGAGGAACTTTAGATGCAATAGAAGGAACATCGTTGAAGGAGGCGATGCCACAGGCACATGGAACGTCGCCGAAAAAGCCAAGCAATGTTGCACGTGATCAAGAACAAAACGAAAAAATGAAACAAATGGCCAGTTAGTGTTACTAATGCGATGCATGCTAATTGACTCGATTTAATTCTTGAATCAAAATGAAGCAATTTAAAAATTAGGCTTAAAAATAGATTTTTTTTCCTAGAGATTGCACATCCCCTTGACAGAACTATACCCTAATAGGTTGGGCGGACTGCCAGAATTCGGGGAGGTTCCTAACAAGGCATAGAAGATTTAATATGATTGCCCAACATCCCTTAGACAAAACTGCACCCTAATATACATGCATGCTCATACACATTCACAATCAATTCCTAAATCTAGGAGATCCCTAAGACTAGGTGGTGTGTGCACCCTAAGCATGCAATCAAGTAAAAACTTAATTAATTGAAGGATTAATCAATGAACAGTTAGTCAGTTTAGATTGGGTTGTTTGTGTCGGATTTGCATCGAAATTTGCGCTGCAAATCTGCTGCTGCAAAAAAAAAAAAAGATGACGAATATTTATGTTGCAATTTCGCAGAAAAATATTTCCGCAACAAATCCACCATAAATTGCTGACTTTCCTGAAGTGATTATTCATAGTAGCTAGCATATCTATTAAGGCTTCCTTTGTGACGACTATCTTACTTCTTTAAGTAGTAAAAAAGCCATCCCAAATGAAGTCTAAGACTTCGTTTGAGCCAACTTTCTTACTGTTTTCTAAAGCAATTTTTCAATATAAAAATTTTTAATTCAAAAAAATTTGTACTAAAAAATTGCTTTAAAAAACGATAAGAAAGTTGCCCCAAACGAAATCTAAGTAAAGCAATTGATAAAGAAGTTTGGAGATGTATAGATTTTAATGTGGATCGAGTTAATTAGCACAGTTTTAACTCTAGATAATAGAGAGGAATCAATAGAATTGCGCAAAGGAATATGTGAAGTGAGAGTGAAATTTGGGGCAAATTTATTACAAACATATTATGACATGAGAAGTTAGCACAAGAAGTTATCATTGCCAACGAGGTGTAGTTCTATTCCAATGGTTGGACGAAATAAGAAAAAAGTGAAATAAAATACAAACAAAAAGACTATTAATAAAGCAACCATATTAGCAAGGTGGATATTGAACTAGGGGGTCACACTATTGAACAAGCACTTGGTTCTTGTTAGGAGATGGTGAGATGGGTCAAGTTGGCTTAAGGTTAATTATCTAGGTCTAGCTAAGCAACCTATGTCCTAAATAACCTCAAGCTATTATAGGTCACTTTTTGGTTAATTAAGACTTGGCTCAAGTAATTTGAAGCAGCAGAAGCTCGATGAGTTAAAAGGTATTGTGAAGTGGTCTTAAAACCTTCTAAGAGTTGTAGAGGCACAAGATGCATGCTAAGTAATGTAGCACACATGTGGATGGAGATAATCAAACTAAAAATTTAATAGCAAGATTTAAAGCCCAAATGTAAAAGAAAGATTAAAAAAAATCTCCAATTACAAGAACCCAATCATTAACCTAATAAAGAACCCATATTTATAATTTTTTTTTCATTTAAAAATTTTTATGATCAGTCTTTATATGGTTATGTATGGATGAATTATTAAAAATAGGTGATTGGAATACTTATCATTAATGGCATCCTATTCATTTTTTCCCTCCACTTTTTTTCACTCCATAAGTGGTTGCATAAGAGTTTTGTAATGCTTATAAATATGGGTTGATCTACATTGTAATTTTTAATTTTTTGAAATAAAATAATTTTGTGAAGAAAAATGTTTTTCATTTGTGTGGTAGTTGGTGGCTTCAAATGTGTGTCTTCCTATTGTTTAGATTAGATAGTCATCTTTATTTTTTTTTATATTATTCATTATTCATCTTTAGCACACATTCGAAACTTTTCAATTGTTTCTAGACACCATAAACATTCTCTTACTGTCTTACATTATAAACTAGCAACCAAAATCTTTAAACTATTATAAAACTTCTAGATAGTTCTTGACCCAACCAAGGAATTCTTGGACCTTTTTGCGGGATAGAATATACGTGGCGATATATTTAAAATACTACGTCTTAGCGTTGTACAGATATCCAGCTCATACACAGAGAACAAAAGATATTTTTATGTGGAAAACCCTAGAAAGGTGAAAAACCACGGGGTCTGGCCCAGTTTTAAATGATTCCTCTAGTGTTTGGGTAGATTACAATGTGCTGACTCATCCTTGAGGGCGATCAGATTACAAATGACAATCGTATGGTTGAAATCTAGTGACAAATGGGGATGAACGTCCAGCGTCATTTAGTGGATTGGGAGAAGTCTTGTGCTAGTTGAAAATTCAGACGTTAGTTGGTAACCTGGCGGTGGTTTGGAAGAACTTCTGCATTGGGCGGTGGTCCTCCGGCATTAGATGGTGGTTCGACGGAACTCTGGGCGGCAAGTGATGGTCTGGTAGAACTTCAAGCATCAAGTGGTGATCCAGTAGAACTATGGGCATAAGGTGGTGGTCCGGTAGAAGTAAGGGCCTCAGGTGGTGGTCCGACAGAACTTCGGGCCTTAAGTGGTGGTCTAACGGAACTCATGGTCTCATGAGGTGGTTCGGCGAAGCTCAGGGATTTAGGTGGTGGTCCGGGGGAGCTCAGGGCCTCGGGCGGTGGTCCGACAAAGCCCAGGGCCTTAGGCGGTGGTCCGACGAAAGATGGTTAAGGAGGTAAGGAGGCAAGAGTGATCTCTGATCTATCTCTTTTCTCCTTAGGCTTAGGGTCCCTTTTCAAGAGGAAGGAGGTGTCTATTTATAGATTTCCTAGAGTAGCATGGCCCCTAAATAGGAGGAGGATCAAAGATAAATGGGGAGTGGTTTAGATGGATGACCCATATTGAATCCATTGATTGTAGACCGTTCGCTAGACATTTGGAAGTCTTAATGATGTTAGAATTCTGTGATCTTGGGCTCGTTGAATTCATCTCGTCGAGCCGCTCGATTCAATTATAAGCATGTCACGTTTGGTGACCCAATTTGTGGTTTGAACCTTCCAACAATGCTTCGAGCCCTTGATTTGGACCCATTTGGACTCAGATTGAGTCGATTTTGGTGTCGTTGGATTTGTATTCTCGAGACATTCAATTCGACTATAAGTTTTCTGAAATCAGAGTTCAGATGTTCCCAATTTTAATTTTGGAAGTTTCCAACTTGATTTTTCCTCGAGATTCGTGCCTGATCAAGATTATTTTTTGAGGATGTATCGGACTTAATCTTCTTCCCTATGCCTTGACATCCTCATAAACTCGACTGAAGTTTACCATCAACTCTAGGTTACAAATTCACTTCCTAAGTTAATCTTTCACCATAATTTCTTCACATTTATCCCACATAAAAATCATTATGTTAAGTAATCTTTGAAATCAACCCAAACTGGATTAGTGTTGGCATTCCTACCAATATGCCATTCTAAACCTCTCATCATTCTATTATAAGCTCCATAAAAAAATATTAAATTAATTAAAAATCTATAGATTTTGCTCTCTATTAATCTCATTAAAAGAGTACTCAATCCCATCACTAAGAATGGACCTTCTAGGCTTGAATCTAAACTAAGTGACTATATGGTAGGTCAGAAATTGATTTGCTCCAAAAGGGGTTCAACAAATGAAAAGAATTTATTAATATCACTTTTTAATTTAAAATTCAATATTAATCAAAATATATTTATAATTGTAATTAATTGATTTTAACATTCTCTTACATATTTGATAGTTTAAATTTTACCAAACTATTAATTAGGTCTATCATTTGATGGTTAATTAAATTATTATAAATTCATTAAATTCAATTTATCAAGTCTCACTTAATTTCATATTTTATTTTTTTATCTAAATTTATCAAATTAGGATGCATTGATTATCAAGTGAATAACATAAAATTAGTGTATGATTCAGACTTTATCTTTGAATTTAATCAACATTTTATTAAAATGTTAATTTTTGTGAATTTACCAATTTATATATTTGAAATGGTAAATTTATTTAAACCTTATATATATTGCATTTATTTATTTTATTTTATTTTAATTGTGGGATCAATAGTACACTAAAGGGTATATAATCATCATTTTAGAAATTTTTTTTATTTTAGGAATTTTCTAAATAATTATAAAACTAACTAAGAAAAGTAAAAAAAACTCATCTAAATTCTCCAATTATCAAACCACCAAGCCTTCACAAATATTTGCAACTAAGCAAACAAAACTCAACAATGCATTCAATTTTCATGAGAGTTTGCCTAATATTTATAAATTAAACAAATAAAAAAAGTAAAAAATTAAAATTAAATGAGGTATATATCCACCACATTGATTTTTAATTATTGGCCAAAGTCTTCTAACAAAGACAATTTAGAGGTCAACATCAAAAGAAAGAAATGCTTCTTCTATAAGTAATCAATGTGGCTATCATAATTATATAAAACACATCATAGAAAATCATCTATTTCAATCATAAATGATCTTTTAGTTTTCTTTTAAATATCTAGAAAAAAAAATAAAAAATTCAAGATAGAGCTTAGTGTAGAGATATTTAAGTACTGATTAGTTGAGAACTTTTTCTTTTTTCACATTTTAAAATTTGCAAGATGCTATAATTGGCAAGATAATTGATTGGTATATAGGTTGGATGCCTAAAATTACAAAATTATTTATTGATTTTTTTGTTTTTATTATACTATAAATAAAAAAAATAAAACTAAAAGTCAAGGCTATGATTAATATTGAATGACTGTTTAAGTATTGCAGTTGATGTGATGGTCTCATAAGCAATAATAATTGGTGAGATTTAAAATTTTATAGCATTTTTCAACTAACCAATTATAAAAAATAACAAGTTCTTTTCTCGAAAAAACAATAATTAAAATGATATTATTTTTTTACTCATTATAATATTTGAAATTGTTATTTTTTGTGTGATTGTAATCACCACTAATAAATTCCTCCACCCAATCTAATTCATCAAAGCCTCTCCATTTTTCACCCTAAGACACATAAATCCATATGCTAGCATCCAATATATCTCTCTCATTCATTTAATATATTGCTTCATTCATTATGCAAAAATCATATAAAATCTCATGATAGATACTTCCACTCGATCTGAGTTAAATTAAGTGCTTATTTGAACGTGCGGTTTTCCCAAAGGCCAAAGCCTTACTAATGGTCTCTCTCTGATTATATTTCTTTGGTGCTGATGCTGCATAAAACTATAAAAGAATGTTTCTTGGCTGTTTATTTAAATCCAAAATTTCATCTTTATGAGCCGGCAAGGCTGCAAAAACTAAAAGGGATTTACATGTCATAATAGTCAAAATAATCACAATTGTATATTTAATATCTAAGATTTCATTTAGCAAAACTTTTTTTTATTATTTTTTAAAGTAGTTTTTTAGTACAAATTTTTAGTTTAAAAATTTTTTGTGCTAAAAAACTGCTTTAGAAAATAATAAGAACATTGTCCAAAATGAAGCCTAAGGCTTTTTGAGACGACTTTCTTACTGCTTCTTAAAATAACTTTTTCTGTTTTAAGAAACAGTAAGAAAACCGTCTCAAACGAGACCTAAATCTTTAAGTAAATAGAAGGATATTGGTGGGACTGAGGATGTGTGAATGAAGAAGAAGAGATGAGAAAATAGTAAGGATTATAAGGGAGAGAGTGATGAGGATATAATATTTTTATATTATTTAAACATTTGAGTGTTATTTAAGTAAATGTTTAATTTAAATGCTAAATATATAAATATGATAACTTTTAAATCCCCGAAAATAAACGGTCAAAAAACGCTGTTCTCTAGAAGTAGAAACCAGCCCCTTCCTCTTACCTTTTAAGCAAGACTTCGGCTATCTTCTTCACTAGTCTCTCTCTCTCTCTCTCTCTCTCTCTCTCCATGGGAAGAGCTCCTTGCTGCGACAAAGCAAACGTGAAGAGGGGGCCATGGTCTCCTGAGGAAGACGCAGCTCTCAGAAGCTACATCCAGAATCATGGCTCAGGTGGAAACTGGATTGCTCTTCCAAAGAAAGCTGGTACCTTTCTGTTCTTGTTCTTCACTCTTCATTAATTACCTTTAAAGTACAAAATTGCTCTTTTCCTGCATTTCTCCTATTTGATTAAATTCCTGAAAGACTTGCTTGATTTGCTTGGGTCTTATAAAGGCTTAAAGCGATGTGGAAAGAGCTGTCGGCTGAGATGGCTTAATTACCTTAGACCAGATATCAAACATGGATGCTTCACTAAGGAAGAAGACGATATGATTTTCACTCTCTACAGTAAGATAGGAAGCAGGTATTCTTACATTTGAAGTTTTGAACTAATAAGCTTTATCATGAACAGATGAACTCAACATTAACAAAAACAAAACTTGGTAGAAGAACCATGAACTGTTTTTGACCGTTGTAAATTATTTTTGAAATTTTAAATTAGGTGGTCTGTGATTGCTTCCAAGCTTCCTGGAAGAACAGATAATGATGTGAAAAATTACTGGAACACTAAGTTGAAGAAAAGAATGATGGAAGCTCAAGCAACACTTTCTGATAATCATTCTGCAGCTCCATCACAACCTGTTGTTCCAAGAGTTCATTCATCGGCTTTCATCAACTGTGTATCCATTCGGCCAACAGATCAGACCGAATCTCAGAGCTTCATTAATGGCAGCTTGGGTGAGTCTTTGGATCTCAGAGTTCCAAGACAGAATCCCAACTATTTAGAACTAGACTTTGGATCAATTGCTGATCTTTTCTACAGTTCTAGTTATGAGGAGACAATTGGTACTATGTGGGCTGATGCTTCAGAAGAAATCAAGCTAGGGGAGCCATCTCAGAGTGTCACATATTTGTATTAGATCTGAATGTGCTTTTACTTGTAGATCAGATTGACATCCTATTGAATTATACATTAATATTAGAAAACAAAGAAGGGATTCACTTCTAACATGTTGAATTCTAGTTGTTGTTGTTTCTTTTTTTTGAACTTCCAATAAAAGAAAGAGAGGGCTTAATCATGGATGAAGATTTGGAGCCAAAACTTCCCCCAATATTTCATTAGGCAAGCTACTGTATAGATGATTACTTAAATGGCCATGAGAAGATTTATTCCCTTCTCTTTTGCCATTATGTGAAGGCAATGCCAAGTCAAAACAAAAGATGAACAAAACAAAAGGTGGGGTACAATTTACATAAGTACATATAAAAAAAGGGAAATTTACCTCCATATCAATTTATAACATCATTTTTACATATCTAATACATAAAATTTTAATATTACATATATATCACCCATATTATTTTAATATCAAATATGCCACTCATATTTTCTTCCTACCACTCATATATTTCATTTATATCAGTCATATTTAATATAAAAATGAACTATGAGTGGGATATATATAATATTAAAGTTTTCAGTAATAAATATGTAAATAGAGTATTATATGGTTATATATATGTAAATCTCCCAAAAATTATTTACTTGATTTAAATTTCATTCAATACAACTTTTTATTTTAAAAAAAAATTGAATTATACATTTTGGTATTAAAAATCTGCTTTAGAAAGCAGTAAAAAACCTCATAAAATAAGAAAAAATATTTTGTGCAGAAGCTGAACCCCGTCTAGATACCTAAACCCGCGGTATCGTTGATGTGGCTCATTCTGATTGGTATCCGGATATAGAGCTATGCTCGACATCCACACAAAATAATCTCTCCCGAATGAAGCCTTAATATTCTTCAATACCTTATGTTTTCTGTGAGTTTTTCACTGTTGTCCTCTTGCTCAAATGCCACTAGCAAGCTGTGACAATAGCTTTATTTGTTATTTCTTTGAATACGATTGATATCAACGTTGAACAAGTCAGAGTAGCTTTGGATGCCTTGCTTGCTTAAATATTTTCGTTTTGACATAATTATTATTTTTATTCATTAAAATAAACAACAAAGGACTGTAACTAGAGACGTGTAAGAAGATCTACCTCTCTTGCTTGGAGTGTAAGAAGGACATAAAGGACAAATTTGGCAGGGCATGCTTATAAATAAAATTAAAGAACTATATCAATTATGAATGTCATTTGTATGTAATTACACTATGAACTTGGACTCTTGGTGCTGAAATGAATATAATATATAGGAAATGTGGTCATGAGAGGAGCATGAGCTGTCTGAGATTTCTTGTCCTGATTTCTACTGTATTTTTTAGTGTTTTTAAGGAAATTACACTCTTATGATATTGATATTTATCTTAGAAAATTTTACAAGTATTTAGGAAGATCATGAGCTTAGCCCCTAAGTTTGAAATTAAGAGATCAAAATGACAAAAATAGAACAACTTGACACAAATTTATTGTTTTTTTACTTGCACTTTGGCGTATGTTAAGAAAGGTAGATGTAGATCTAAAAAAATTTGGTTAGAAAATATTAGAAATGATATTTATTTAATAGATTTAAATGAGAATTTGACTCTTAACATGACACAATGGAGAAAAAGGATTCATGTAGTCGACTCTACATAGTGGCATAAAGGCGTGTTGTTGTTGCTGTTATTGCACTTTGCTAAGAGTTTCATGCGCATCACTTACTTTATGGCATACACCTTCTTCTTGCTTTTTTTGTTGTTGTTGGTGTGTCAAGGAAGAGGTGATTTCTTTAGAGGAGGTAGATTAAAATAATGATAAGATTTTATTCAAAGATTTCCTCCTCTTGCAAGTACTTCATTTTCCTAATTTTAAGGTTTCATGAGAGTGTTCACCAAGTTTAATTACCTTTTTGTGAGAGAGGCCACTTTTGATTAAGGCTAATGATACTAGGGCTTCGTTTGGGATGATTTTTTTACTGCTTCTTAATAAATACTAGCTTTTATTTTCTTTGGGTAGGTTAACATTCCATTTAATTATGAGTGATTAAGAAGTTTTCAATTATGTTTTTTAAGTATTAGATTTAGGCTTTATGGTCTGCAAGAGGTTTGATAAGCTCGCACATTTTATTACTTTCTATGGAATTTATTTAGTTGTCTATAAATCTTTTTATCATGTATCTTCTCCTTGGAGAAAGTATTCTTGACTTGTAGGAAGATGAATGATATAAAGATTATTGGTTAACTCATAGGTCTATTTTAATTTTCTAGTTCTATTTGCCTTGTACCATCTTTTGAAGTTGTAGGTAATAGGGGCGGTGTAGGATTTTGCTTTTTGTTTGCTTGATCTTCTTCTTTAAAGAGAGAAATATCTTTGTTGTTATGTCAATTCCATGATTCCTATTCATTGAACTCCATATCATGACTCACATTTAGGTTTCTTATTATTAGATTAAATGCTTGTAAGCCTTTGACTCTGCATTACATCTAATGATGAAAAACTTGGCACTTTGTCATCTAGCTTCATTCTCATTTGATTTGGCATATTTGTATGTGCAAAAGAACATAAAATCTTTAACTAAGAGATGCTTGGATTCCTTTCACTCTATGCTTTTTTGTGGAGCATGCCCTTCAAGCTCTTTGTTAAACATCATTTAAGTATGTAGATAACATAATTCATACTTTATCCAAAAGTTCTTTAGGCGAATTTTTAATTTATAAGCTACAAATCATATTAGGGATGCCTCTATTTTTAGCATTATGTAATGCCAATTTATTGTTGTGAATATGGTGCATCCATCAGAGGTCATTGAATGCAATGCACCTTAAAATATCTTTAAAATTTTTATAAAAGACTTCTTCACCATTATTGAATCATAGTTCCTTATTTTATAGGAATTTGTGTATTGATTTAAATATTTGAAGATGTGAAATGCTCAAGTGTTTTCCTTTAAGAGATAAACTCAAGTTTTCTTCCATCATGTGCTTGGTTGATAAATATTGGATATTGACAAGATGGAGATATGGAGATGACTAAATCTCAAATTTCATAGCTAAGCATAATCTTTATCACATGCTTTTTAAGCATTCGGCATCAACATACTTAATATTCAATTAAAATAATAGATTGTTTGACATTTGTACATGAACAATCAAATTATTATTTTGTTCACTCATAATTTTGATTCTATATAAAATTAGTATTCTCATCAACTTGATTACAATCTTCATAAAACAAAATGATAATATTATTTGTAATTACAATATTTTATTTTTGATTTTTCATATCTTACTTGCCACCCTTACCCACTTACTCCTCTAGAACTTTGGTTGCTTTCATCATTATTATAACATTCTCACCTTCAAATCTCAGCCTAGGTCATAACCTCTTTAGCGCTCTACTTTTTTTTTTCGAATCTTCCTTGTCCTCGGTCATGGAAACCATCAATTGAGGAACTTTCTTCAAATGCTCTTGCCACTTTGTTAGCTATTGTTCATGGACTTATAATCAACCATAAGCTTATCAGTTTCCATGGTCTCTAAGCACTTTGACTCTTTAATAGCTACCATAATGCATGTAATAAACTTTGCTTCCAACAAGTGTAAACTTTCTTTACCACGCTGATGTCTTTGAAAGTTTAGTCAATGCTCCTTAGTTAATAGACTTAGCTAAGACTCTTGTGAAAGAATTTAACATGTTTTTGGACTCATTGCATTGGTCTTCAAATTCATCTGAGAATGTTAGAGCCAAACTCTTTTTTCACATTCCTGGATCAATTGTAAGTATATTATAGAATCTCTCGTATGACAGTGATAGTTGCAACAGCCTTTATTAATGACAACTCATCTATCAAGTAATAGATAAAATATATATGAATATTTCAAAGAGTGTTTATTTGTTGAGTGGTGAGTGCGGCTTCTTCTCTTAGTTCTATATAGCCTTCATCAAGAGCTTCTCAAATGCCTAGGGATCCAATCAAAACCTTAATTTGCATACTCCAACTCTCATAATTCAAAATGCTAAGATGAGAAAATGATGGTTGCATAAGATTGTTATTAATCGTCGTCAAACTCTAATACTATTTTAATAGAAATTAAAAGAAATAGAATAACCAACATAAATTGGACAAGAAATTAAAATAGAATTTAAAGGAGTTTTTGGCCTCATTAGCTTGGAGTGTTATTATGTAGTAATTTCTTTAAACTCTATAATTACAAATAATAATTTTTTTTAGTAGAAAGTTGTCCCATATATTATATATAAAAGAGCACGTGCAAGGCTTTATTATAGAGAGAGACGAATTAGTGGACTAAAGTTTTAATATAAGAGACAATTGATCAATGATATTCCTTTTTTGCTTTTCCAAAAAAAGAAAGCAATGAAGTAAGGAGTAGGGTTCAAACCAATGGACTCATGGTTATAAACATAGGTGTGATTAAGCCAAAGTCTAGTTCATAAGGTTCATATAATTATATGAGGAGCCATCATACAATATAAATTTATAAGCTTCATTTTCGCTTCTAACAAACATCAATCTCTTGCTCACATAGCCACCTTTACTAATTTCATTGATCATTAATATTTACTATGTGTAACTTCCTCACTCAAAGTCAAATAACATTTCTTTTGACTTTCTTAAGCAAGTAAATGTTGTCCCAAAAGGAAATACCTTTGGTCAATCAAATTAAACAACTTCATTTAACTCTTAACATGTCTAACATCACTAGAGGATAAATGATGAAAGCCAATCATTTGCACTTGTTCGACTTATAAAGAAACTCGTATTAGACTTAGGCTTCATTTGGGATAGTTTTTTTATTTTTTAAAGCAATTTTCTAGTACAAAAGTTTCTAATTCAAGAAAATTTTGTATTAAAAAAACTGTTTTAGAAAGCAACTGCTTCAAACGAAGCATTGGGATAACTTTTGAGCATTACTTTTTTGTTGGTTTAAGAACTTTTTGCACCAGAAAATTGTTGCAAAAGAGTCTCAAACAAAGCCTTAAGACTTCATTCGGGACTTTTTTTTTTACTATTTATACAATAATTTTTTAGTACAAAAATTTCTTCAAAGCAGTGGCAAAAA